TAGTAGTAGTAGTAGTAGTAGTAGTAGTAGTAGTAGTAGTAGTAGTAGTAGTAGTAGTAGTAGTAGTAGTAGTAGTAGTAGTAGTAGTAGTAGTAGTAGTAGTAGTAGTAGTAGTAGTAGTAGTAGTAGTAGTAGTAGTAGTAGTAGTAGTAGTAGTAGTAGTAGTAGTAGTAGTAGTAGTAGTAGTAGTAGTAGTAGTAGTAGTAGTAGTAGTAGTAGTAGTAGTAGTAGTAGTAGTAGTAGTAGTAGTAGTAGTAGTAGTAGTAGTAGTAGTAGTAGTAGTAGTAGTAGTAGTAGTAGTAGTAGTAGTAGTCGTAGTAGTAGTAGTAGTAGTAGTAGTAGTAGTAGTAGTAGTAGTAGTAGTAGTAGTAGTAGTAGTAGTAGTAGTGGTAGTAGTAGTAGTAGTAGTAACCATGAAAGTAGTGAAAAGTAGTAGTACAAGTAATAATAACAAGTAGCAGTAGTACTTACTAGCACTCGGAGGAGGAGGAGGAGGAGGAAGAGGAGAAGGAGGGAGAAGTAGGAGGAGGAGGAGAGGGAGGGGGACAGGGGGGAGGAGGATGAGGAAGAGGAGAAGGTTAGGACGAATCCTATTCACCAACAGGGGGGGTCCAAAACTAAAATCCCCTAGAGGTTAACATTACACCAGACCTCTTCCCGCGAGCCAGCATGAGAGCCCCTGGCGCTCACGGCGCAGCGCCGAAGCATGGCCGTCGACCACCTCGACCGCTGGTCGCCGGAGCGCGTCCTGCGGCCATCTTCGCAGGAGGATCGAGGATCTTCGCATGGGGGGAACGGGTCCTCCCTGACTCCAGACCCGCCCTACTTTGGCTTTTTTCCCAACTTAAGATTGCGTCGGACATCCACCTACAAGAAGCCGAACAAGTAGGGCGGAAATTTCTGCGCCCAACATAAAGTAGGGCGGAAATCCGCAGAAATAGGGCGGAAACAGCAACAGAAAAGCAGGGCGGAAACTGGCATCAGCGGGGCTTGAAAAGTAAGGCGGACATTCCAAGCCCTACTAGCGAATTTCCCAAAAGTATGGCGGATCCGGAGTCAGGGCAGTCTTCTCTTCCAGCCTGCATCGTTTTCTGACAGACCCGGGGCCCGTTGAGAGCCCCGCGAGGGCCCGAAGGCGACGGAAGCCTCAGGAACCGCTTCCCTCAGGACCCCGTTCCCCCACGGCGAAGCGCGTAGGAGGGCTCAGGCTGGGCGCCGGCCGGCCACGTCAGAAGCCGGCGCTCGCCTGACTCCAGTCGATCTGCGCCCCCAGCAGCTGCGACGCGCTGCCGCTTCTCGACGCGCCGGGGCCGCCCGAAGGCCTGGCGCCCCCGGCGGCGCCCAGCCGCAGGGCGGAGGACAGCAGCGCGCCGCCGCCGCGGCCGCGCGCGCCGCCGCCGCCAAACATGAGGCTGCCGCCGCTGCCCCGGCCGCGGCCCAGGGGGTTGCTCATCCTGCAGCGGTTCAAGAAGGCGGGAGGGGGGATGCTGAGGCAAGGGGCCCCCAGGAACGGGCAGGGGTCCCAGAGGGCCCCCCCACGGTTTGAGGCCACTCGTCCTCCCCGTCAGCGTGCTGCACCACGTGCGGCAAGCTGAGCAATGCACGCAGAGGCGTTTCTGGCCATGGCCACGAAGCGGCCCCCCGACCCAGATATCTAAGGAGCGGCCCGAACGCCAGAGCCTCCTGAGCCCGACGTGGTCCTCAGATCTCAGCGTCTTGACCGCGCAGGGCCCCGTGCCTCCAGGCCACCTCTTTGAACCGCCGAGTCCTCCTCTTCGGCGCGGCGGAGCTGAACGAGGAGCCCCCCGGGCTCCCTGGGGCATCGGCGGCCGGGGCGGCCGCGGCCTTCCCAGACTGCGCGGCGGGCGCCGCCGCCCCGGCCCCCTCGCTGCTGCTCTTCGTCGCCTTGCCGCCCGCTTCGCTGTCCGAGTCGTCCAGCCCGAGCTCCGCCAGCATCGCGGCGGTCACCTTGTCGGAACCCTTGGCAGGCGAGCCCGAGACGACGCCGACCGCTTCCGCAGGCGGCGCCGCCGAGTCGCCCAGGCTGCTCGGCCCGAACCCCGCCGCCGAGTCGTCCAGCCCGAGCTCCTCCAGCATCGCCGCGGCCACCTTGTCGGCGCCCTTGGCAGGCGAGCCCGAGACGACGCCGACCGCCTTCGCAGGCGGCGCCGCCGAGTCGCCCAGGCTGCTCGGCCCGAGCCCCGCTGCCGAGTCGTCCAGCCCGAGCTCCTCCAGCATCGCCGCGGCCACCTTGTCGGCGCCTTTGGCAGGCGAGCCAGAGACGACGCCGACCGCCTCCGCAGGCGGCGCCGCCGAGTCGCCCAGGCTGCTCGGCCCGAACCCCGCCGCCGAGTCGTCCAGCCCGAGCTCCTCCAGCATCGCCGCGGCCACCTTGTCGGCGCCCTTGGCAGCAGAGCCAGAGACGGCGCCGACCGCTTCCGCAGGCGGCGCCGCCGAGTCGCCCAGGCTGCTCGGCCCGAACCCCGCCGCCGAGTCGTCCAGCCCGAGCTCCTCCAGCATCGCCGCGGCCACCTTGTCGGCGCCCTTGGCAGCAGAGCCAGAGACGGCGCCGACCGCCTCCGCAGGCGCCGCCGCCGAGTCGCCCAGGCTGCTCGGCCCGAGCCCCGCCCCGAAGTCGCGCTGGCTGCCGACGCAGGCGGCGCCAGCGCCAGTGGCGCCGCCGCCAGCGGCGGGCGGGGAACCGATCTCCGACACGCTGCCGACGTCGCCCTGGCTCCACAAGCCGCTGGACTCTGGCACCGCCCCCACCGCCACCTTGCCCTCGTCCCGGCCCCGCAGCGCGCCCGCGGCACTGGTGCGGCCGACGCCCCCGCCCTCGAACCCGCCGGACCCGGGCGCCGCCACTGCCGCCGCAGCCCCGACCGAGGCCGCCGCCACTGCTGGCGAGCCACCGCCGGCACTCGCAGCAAGCAAGCTGAGGCTGGCGCCAGCACTGGCGACGCCAGCCCCGCCCTCGCCGTCCGAGCTGCCGCCGCTCCGCCCTGGCGCGGGCGGCGGTGCGGCCTGATGAACGACATGGGCCAGCGGGCCAGCAGTGTCGCTCGAGCCCAGAGACTGGGGGCCACGGGCGGCGCCCTCCCGCGTGGCGTCCAGCCCGGGCACGTCCCGTGCGGCCCCGCACCGGCCGCCTGGCGGCGTCCCGCTGTCGGCCTCGCCTTCTGAATCCTGCTGCCCTGGCCCCGTCCCTGCAGCCCGGCCGCCAGCGCTGGCGCTGGCCGCCGAGGAGCCGCCGAACGGGAGCCCCACGCCTGGGGCAGTCCACGGCTCGGAGCTGTCGCGGTGGAGCCCCGCCCGCGTCGCCCCGTCGCGGTCGCCGCCAGGGCTGCCCGAGGGGCCAAGGCGATCGCCGCCATGATCGCTCGCGAGGCTGCCCGCGAGGCCGCCAGCGCATACGCCGTCGGCGGGAAGACCGTCGGGGGCTCCGGCGAAGATGCCAGAGAGGCCGCCAGTGGAGCTTCTGGCGGGGCTGCTGGTGTGGTTGGCGGCGGGGGGGGCGCCGGCGGGGCCGCCCGCGGAGGGGCCCACGAACCCAACGGCTGAGCTGCCAGCGGGGCTGCTGGCGAAGCTGCCGGCGGGGGGGTCGGCGAAGCCGCCCGTCGGACTGCCGGCGACGAGGCGGCCGGCAGGGCCGCCCAATGCAGAGGACCTTGCGGCTGACGCGGCGCAGACCTCCGCGGGCTCGCTGCCGGCCTCGTCCTCCAGGCTGCCGGGCCCGAGACCTGCAGCTCCTCCCGCGCTGCCGCGCGGTGCCTCCGCGCGTCGCAGATCGTCGACACCGCGTGCGGCAGCGCAAGCGGTGGGTGCGCCCGCCGCCTCGGAGGGTCCCTCGTCCAGCGCTGCGAGTGGCGGCAACGAGGCGGGTGCCAGCGGCGCCCCAGACGCCGGAGGCGCCCCTGCCGCGAACGAAAAGTTGATGCCGTCGGCAGCACCACAAGAGTCACCCAGGCTGAGGCTACAGCTGCCCTCCAGCTGCGCCACCCCTCCTGGACCAGCCACTGCTGGGGCGCCAGCTGGGTCAACGCCAAGCGGAGGTGGCCTCTGCTCCGCGGGGAGTGCAAGCGACGTCGGCGCCGTGGCGCGCGGCGGTCCGCCTGGGCAACCGACAGCCTCTCCGCCGGCACCTGCCGCAAGGAGCACAGCCTCGGCTGCAGATGCTGCCTGGGCCGCGGCCAGCAGCCCTTGCGACCCGTGCGGCGGCATGGGCGCCCAGGCCGACACCTCGGCAACCCGGACACGCGACGTCCTGATTTTTGTCAGGACGGCGCCCCCGCAAGTCCCGACCCTTTCCCCGGGACTGGTTTGTCGTCCCGAGTCGTTCCTTGACGGTCCCGAGGCCCGGCGGCGGGGCCCCCCGGGGCCGAAACTCGCCAGAAACCTCCCGTGCAGGGATCTCTTTATAAACGACGCGAGCATATGTCTGAGAGGCTGCGCCTCTGCGGCGCTGCTGCTGGCCCCCCCTCCGCTGGAGCCCGCCGGCGCGGCGGCCGGCGCCGCCGCGGGCGCCCCCGGCCGCCCCACCGCGGCTCCGCCGGCCCAGGGCGGCGGCGCCGCCGCGCCCTGCAGCGTGGGCGACCCTGCCGTGACGATCACCGGCGGCGGCAGCCCTGCCGCGAACGCGGCCCGCAGCGCGGGCGCGGCGGCGGCCGGCGCGGGCGCCGGGCGGCGCGGCAGGGCCGCCACCGGGGCCCCCGCCGCCTCGAGGAGCCGCAGGTCCGCCTGCATCTCCAGCTCGGTGGCCCGGAGGCGCTGGTAGACCTCGAACTGCCGCGTGCCCTGCGCGGGCACGAAGCTGCCGGGCGCGCGGGGCGGGCCGGGGCGCGCCCCCGGCGCGGGCGGCGGCGCGGCGGGCTGCGGCGGGGAGTCCTTTTGGAGGGGGGGGGCGGGCAGGCACGGCGTGCCGCCACTCCACGGGTGCAATGTGTGGCTTGGACTTCGAGGAGGAGCCAGCCGTGGCGGCGAGGGCTCCACTGAGCTCCGACGCTGCTGCGGAGAAGCGCCTCCTCGCGACAGCTCGCGAGGCCGGAGCCCCAGGCCCCCATCTTTCTGCGGCGCACTGCTCGAGCTGGATCGGCCCATGATGGCCCCAGGCCCTGACACCAGGCGAGACAAAAATAACGCGCGGCCTGCAGCAAAAACATGCAAAACGCTCGGAGCTCTGAGGACGAGGGCAGCGGCGAATCGGACCCTCTTCCCAGACATGCGACGTCCTGACTTTTTCAGTGCGGCGTCCCCGGAAGTCCCGACCCTCTCCCCGGGACCGGCTCTTCACCCTGGTGGATCGCTGTTTGCCGGTCCCGCGGCCCGGCGAGGGCCTCGAGAGGCCTAAAACGGCGACAGACCTCCGTCCTGCATTTTTGGCGACGCGAGCGTGTCCGGGTTTGCCTCCTCTGCGCCTCCGGCGCGCCCGCGGCCGCGGCCGCCGCAGCCGCCGCGGCCCCGCCGCAGGCGCCGTGGGCGGGGCGCGCGCCTGCCGAGGCCGCGGGGGGGGGCGGCCCCGCGGCGGCCGGCGCGCGGCCGGCCAGGGGGGCGTCGAGGGCCGCGAGGCGCTCGCGGAGGCTGCGCTGCCGGTCCTCGAGCTCGCAGTGCAGGTGCTGCAGCGAGGTGCGCTCCTCGAGGGCGCGGCACCGCTCCGCGGCGAGGCTCAGGGACAGCTCCTGCTGGCGCACGGCGGCCTGGAGCAGGTCGTCCTGGCAGGCCTTGCAGTGCGCCGCCTCCCGGCGCGCCTCGCGGATCTGCTGCTGCATCTGGCCCTCCACGCCCTGGTGCCACAGCGGCGCCATCTTCTCGGCCTGGAGCCGGAACTCTGCCCGCGAGCTCTGGAGCCGGTCCAGCACCCTCGTCTGCACCTCGCCGCTCGCGGCGCCGGCGCCGGACGCCGGCACCTGCGCGCCGACCTGCCGCTCGTACTGCAGCGCCGCCTCCCGGATCACCTGGTTGCGCTCCAGGGTGTGCTCCCTGACGCTCAGCCCGTGGGCCAGGCTGCGGTCCATCTGCCGCACGACGGCGACGCGGTGCATCTCGGCGAGGTGCCGCTTCTGCTGCAGGCCCTCCAGCGCTTCCCGGTGGTGCTCCTGGAGGCGGTGCCACTCCGCCTCGAGGGTCAGGAAGTCCCGGGCCACCACGGCGCCCGGCGACGCCAGCATGGCTGGCGTCGGCGCCGACCACCTCTCGGTGGGGCCCCGCACGCGCTGCTCGGAAGAGGGCCAGTTGAGACAGCGGCGACTCTCCCGCCTGGCCCAGCTCCGCGCAAGCCTGTCCCCAGACTCTCGGGCGCCACCCTGCATGACGAGTCTTTCCAGCCGGATCCGGCCGTGGCAACGAGCAACCCCCCGGGAGAGGCCCACAGAAGGCGAAAACGCCACCCCCCGAAAGAGAACGAGGGAGAAGGGAGGAGGGAGGAGGAGGAGGAGGAGGAGGAGGAGGAGGAGGAGGAGGAGAGGAGGAGGAGGAGGAGGAGGAGGAAGGAGGAGGAGAGGAGGAGGAGGAGGAGGAGGAGGCGGACGAGGATGTCGACCGAGGAGGAGGAGCAGGCGGAGGAGGAGGAGGAGCGGATGGAGGGAGGAGGGATGAGGGAGGAGAGGAGGAGCAGGAGGGGAGGAGGAGGAGGAGGAGGAGGAGGAGGCGGAGGAGGAGGAGGCGGAGGAGGAGGAGGAGGAGGAGGGGAGAGGCGGACGAGGAGGCGACGAGGAGGAGGAGCAGGCGGAGGAGGAGGCGGAGGCGGAGGCAGGAGGAGGAGGAGCAGGAGGGGAGGAGGAGGAGAGGAGGAGAGGAGTAGGAGGCGGGACGAGGAGGAGGAGCAGGCGGAGGAGGAGGAGGAGGCGGAGGAGGAGGGAGGAGGAGGAGAGGAGGCGGAGGAGGAGGAGGAGGAGAAGGAGGCGGAGGAGGAGGAAGGAGGAGGAGAGGAGGCGGAGGAGGAGGAGGATGGAGAGAGGAGGAGGAGGAGGAGGAGGCGGAGAAGGAGGAGGAAAGGAGGAGGAGGAGGAGGAGGAGGAGAAGGAGGCGGAGGAGCAGGAGGAGGAGGAGGAGGAGGAGGAGGAGGAGGAGGCGGAGGAGGAGGAGGAGGAGGAGGCCCAATGAAGGATAGAACGCCGCCAGGGAGGGCCGCTGCTGTCCCGAGCGGCCCTCGTCCGGCACCCGCGGGGAAGTCGCAGCGCTGCCTTCTGCCCCCCCCCCGTGGCGGCGGCAGCGGCGCCGTGAGGTCCAGCGCGGCCTGAGCCCAAGAGGCTACGGTTGGGTCGGGCGTGTCCTCCGACAGGGGGATCTTGTACAAAAAAATGAAAGTATCCCGGCAAGGCAACCTAACAGCGATGTGTACGAGCATATCTGGAAGCATTTCCCTTAAGATTCAAATGAAGATCCAGTTGTAGAATTCTGCTGTTCCGCGGGGAAGTCGCAGCGCCGGCGCCGTGAGGTCCAGCGCGGCCTGAGCCCAAGAGGCTACGGTTGGGTCGGGCGTGTCCTCCTACAGGGGGATTTTGCACGAAACGAAAAAAAACATAGTCCAACAATACCCCCATATGGTCAAAGTACTCGAAAAGTCGTACCCAGACTTTTGTAAGTACTGTGTTTGAATACTCCTCCTGCAGAGGGACGCGCCCGACACAAGGCTACGGAGCCCCCTCCATGATGGCCTGCACACGGTGCGGGGTGCGTACACGCGGGCGTGCTGAACCGAGCTGCAGCGGTGCACTGGCCAGGCGCGTTGCAGGGCGGCTGCCTGCACGGAGTCGCAGGCCGGCTTCGCAGGGCGGGGCCTCACACCCAGCAGTTCTCGACCACGCCGGCAAGAAAGAACAGGACTCCACATCGTTCCTAGACGGTAGCGCTGTCTGGAGATTCGCTCTCCTCTCCAGGAGCTATGCCTCAGGCTCGCCGCGGCGGACCGTACAGGCGCGGTGGACCGCGCGACCCGTGGACGCACAGCCGTCCGAGCCTGCGTGCACGGTGGCAGGTGACAAATAGTTTGGGGTAGAGAGGAGGGTGGATGAGGAGGAGGGATGGAGGCGGGGAGTTGGATGAGAGGGAAGATGGAGAGGCAGATGGGGAGAGGAGGAGGAGGGGTGGGAGTCGGAGAGTACCGAGAGCGGGTGCAGGCGGCAGGAAAAGGGTCCGACGAAGACAAGGGGAGGGAAAGGGGAGGAGCAGGAAGTGAAGCAAGCAAGCTGGTGCAGGCGGGGAGGAGGGCGATTGCATGCACGGTGCCGCGTGTTGCATTGCACTGATGAGAGGCAGCTTGGCTTAGTGGGGCCCGACGAGGGACGGACACACGGACCCAAATTTCAAGCACGAGTACATGTTGTGCTTGTCGCCGAAAGGGAGAGCACCCGCAACAACCAGGCCTGGAGGAGGAGGAGGAGGAGGAGGAGGAGGAGGAGGAGGAGGAGGAGGAGCAGGAGGAGGAGAAGCAGGAGCAGGAGGAGGAGGAGGAGGAGGACAAGGCCGAAGAGGAGGAGGAAAGCCTCCTCCTCCTCCTCCTTCTCCTCCTCCTCCTCCTCCTCCTCCTCCGGCCGCAGGTGCAGCTGCAGGAGGCCCGCGCGGACGGCGGCACCTGCGAGGGCTGCTCCCGCGCAGCGGGCCGCCCCGGAGGAGGCCGGAAGGGACGAGCTTGTCGACAGGGTCGTCTCGTGGCACCGGCCCTTGCCGCGGATCCGGCCAACGAGGACACTCCCCCCGTGTCGGCGGCGATGAAGAAGAGTGCCTCTCACAACCTCGGCACGCCCGCCGTGCGGATCGCGGCTACGGGGGCGGCGCCGAGCTGAACAGGCTCCAGCGGCTGGGGCTTGGGCGGCGGCGCCGCGGGAGGCGGCGACAAGCCGGCCAGTCGACCGAGCAGGTGAGGACGGGCTAAACGTCTGGCGGCGGCGAGCACCACAGAGGCCACAGCAGCGTGTGGCAGGCGCATGGATTGGGGGGCTCTTGTCGCAGTGTGCCGCGGCCCGCCGACTGCGTGCAGCCGTGCGGCTGCGGGGGCCGGCCCTGCACGCATGGTGCGGTGCTGCTCGAGGGGGCTGCGTGCGGCGCCCCGCGGAGCCCGAGGACTCTCGCTCGTCCGTCGCCCCCCCGGCCGTGCCGCCGCCGAGGGCGAGCGGCGAGCCGAGGAGGGGCGAGCGGCGGGGGAGGGCAGGTCGGCGAGCGTCGGGCCGGGAGGCGGCCCGAGGGGGGGCGGGGACTGGCGGCGGGGAGGCCTGCCAGCGGGCCCTATCGCCCGCCGCCGCCGC